TATTATTAACAAAACAGGGAAATAAAATATTGATACCTCTTTTCTCTTTTCTGGTTAAATTTCTCTAGATGTTTCTAGTTTTTAATCCTATTTTTCAAGATTTCTTAAAGTAAGTAGGATATTTTTATATATTTAAATCAATCATATCAATAGCTTAGTTGATGCTTAATAGCAGGAGCAAAATAAGAAATAAAAATATTAATAGCTATCTTCCTTTATCAGGTTTGATTTCTCTGGGATTAACTTATTTTTGTTTTCATTTTTTCTGTTTTCTTTTAATTGTTTCCAGGATTAGTAGTTTTTTAGCTCTAAAATTAGGGATATTAGGGACTTGGTTCATTCTTAATAGCAATAACAACATGAGAAACAAATATGTAGTGTTTTCTTTTTTATCAGATAAGGTTTCCCCAGATAGTATTATTTTTTGTTTTGATTTATTGGGATTTCTGTTGCTAATTTTCATAATATCTTTATATATCTAGAATCAATAATATTAGTCACCTGGTTTCTACTCAATAGTAGTAACAAAAAAAAAATATAACTCTTGTATATGATTTTTTTGTCAGATCTTGTTTCTCCAGATGCTATTCTTTTTTTACTTTAATTTCCCAAGAATTCTGTTACGGATTTTGAGAATATTTTTCTATATCTACAATTAATGATATTAGTAATCTGGTTTATGCTTAATAGTAATAAGATAATAAGAAACAACAATGTTCATACCTATTTTCTTTTGTCAGATTTAATTTCTCTGGATTTCTCTTTTATTTTTATTTTTAATATATTTCTTTTAGTAATTTTAGGGTTCTGTTTTCTATATACAAAATTAACAATATTAGTAACTTAGTTCATCCTTAATAGTAATAACAACATGAGAAACAAATATGTCATACTACATTTTCTCAAATTATGCTTCGTCAGATTTTCTGAGTCTTGATTTTTATTTTCTAGTATTGCTGTTGCTGATTTTAAGAATATTTATTTATATCTGAAATCAATAATATTAGTAACCTGGTTTATAGTCAGCAGCAATTACAAAATGGGAAATAAAACTCTTATACCTTCTGCTTTCAGCAGGTTTGATTTTTCTGAATTTCTTACTATCAGTTTTATTTTCTAATACTTCTTTTACTGGTTTTAAAGCTCTGTTTTCTACATTCAAAATTAATAATATTAGTGACTTAGTTTTACTTAATAGTAACAACAAAAGGAGAAAAACAATCTTGAACCTTTTTATTTCCTCAGATTTAATTTCTATAGATCCCTACTGTTTATTGTTTTTATCTTTACAGATTTTTCCTGGTGATTTTCAGGAGCTTTCAGTTGTACCTAAAATTAGTAATAATAGTCAGTTTGTTTACCCTTAATAGCAACAGCAAAATATGAAACAATAACATTAATAGAACTTTGCTTCATTTGTCACACTTTGTTTTTCCTAATTTTATGGCTTCATACTTTTGTTTTACTGATTTTAGGGATTTGATTTGTATCACAGTCCAACTTTGAGGAGTATTATTTGTGTGGGCCAGAACATGAGGGTGTGGGATTGTGGGTGAAGAGAAGAGTGCAAAGGGTAGAGGTAGAGCCGGCATATAAATAAGAGAATAATCCAAGTTCCTGGACTTGAAACTCCAGTAGCTAATATGAGTGTTGAAGATATATGTAGAAACCATGTTCAAGATGAGTATTCAAGATGCATAAGAGAACAATGGCTTATCAGATCGGACATTTTTTGCGGCCAATCAGATAAAAGCTTACAGTACATATTAGACTAGCAGTCCCCCCCTCGATACTCGAGGCCTGAA